GTAATACTTAGGACTGTGACTGCCGGGCAGTACAATAAGCGTATGTTTATCTTTCTAAGAAGTGACCGAATCCTTTCCCAAAGTGGCTGTTCGCCTCATGTTCCCACCACAGGCTCTGGAAGTCCCAGTGGTTGAAGATGCTCACTCATACATGGTGCTGTCCAGTTTTCCTCCTTGATTTTGTCTTTATGTAGGTAACAGTGAATCCTCAGTGTGTTTTTTACTTCACTGTGTTTTTCCAATGACTAAAGATGCTGAACATTTTGACATGTCAATTTGCCATCCTTATGTTTTTTATGAAATTCCTGCTTCATTGTTATAGTAGTTATTTTTTTTCTACAAGTTTGATCAAAATAACTAGCAGGAAAAAAAATCCCAAGGGAGGAGAAGTTTATTTTGGCTCAGGGTTTCATAGATGTCAGTCACTGTGGTGAGGCAGGCATGCTGAGAGTGTGGTGGTAGAGATGCGCAGTGGAAGGTGTTCACATTCAAAGGGATCAGAAAACTGAGACAGTGTAACAGGAAATAGGGCTGGGTTAGCCTTCATCTCCAAAGCCTCCCTAACCTCCACATATAACCCCACCAGCTGGGAAATAAGCATTAACTGCAAGCCTGTGGGCAACATTTCAGATTCAAACCATAGCAGATGTTTTGCCTGTGTTTTGAATTAGGTTGTTGTTTTCTTATTATTGAATTTTGAGAATTTTAAAAAAAATGTGAATGTAAGTCATATCAGATCTGCAATTTGCAAATATTTCCTCTACATCTGTAACTTGTCTTATTGACTTATATCTTGAATTAGAAACAATAATAAAAATCATTACATTTATCATGTACGGTATTTTGTTTTGAAATATGTGTCCAATGTGGAATGATTCAAACAAGCTAATGTAACACATACATCACCTCACATATGTATTCTTTTAAGTTAGGGGCATGTGGAATCTCCTTTGACAGTTTCCAAGAATATAATATTGCGGAGCTGGCCAGGTGGCTCAGTGGTTAAGAGTGCTTATTTCTCAGTCACAAGGACTGAATTTGGATCCCAGCACCCGCACAACAAACTGCGCACAGTCTTGCCCACCTGTAACACTAGTGTTGTGGTGGCAGAGACAGGAGGGTCACCAGGGCTTGGTGACTGCCAGCCTAGCCAGAAATTACTAGCTCTGGCTACACGGAGAGACTCTATCTCAAAAGGGTAAGCGGAGTTGACAGAGGAAGACACTTGAATATCCTCTGTCCTCCATGCACACATGTGGGCACACACACACACACACACACACACACACACACACACACACATGGGGAGGGGGAGACAGAGAAGTAGAAAATCAGTTTCTAAAAATAAAAGAATGTCCTACTGTTCAAATACTAGATCTTTTGAACTCGTTTCCTCTACTTAACCGAAGTTTGTGTTCTTTGACCCATCCTCCCCAGCTTGACTCTTCTCTGCTTCTTTTAAGCCTCGATGTCTTCCAAACAGCAGAACCTCTTAATCTGATGACGGTCAATTTGCCAATTTTCTCTAACGAAGTCAACTTTTTTCTTTTAGTTTTGTATTTCAAGTATGTTAGCTTTATGCAAGGTGGTAAACATTTACTCTTGTGTTTTCTTCTAGAGGTCATATAGTTTTGTTTTGTATTTAGCTAAAATCTGCGTTAGTTTCCCTATATAATACCACCTACAAAATGAAAGGTTCCTGCTGCTTTGGAGGTTCCTTCTGAGTTTTGGCATTCAGGCTCAGTTGTTCTAGCATCATTTGTCAACACCACATTTCACTAAATTATGCATAGTTTCACTTGGGCCTGTTTATAACTGTCCAGGCTGTCAACTGATTTATATATTTATTTTGCTTTTACTATCATGCTGTTTTATTTACTGTGACTCTACTATATACCTTAAAATCAGTGTGTGTCCTCCAACCCTATTTTTTTCAACAATGAAAAGTCCATTACATAAAACAGAGAAACATTTCCTGTTTACACCACACTGAACACACACTCTTGCTTTAGATGAGAGGACATCTTGAATGAGGACTGAGGGGCAGACACTGACTGCTTTTGGGGATTTGAGACACTGCAAGGTATGCACATGTGTAGTAGAAAGGTGCTGAGGAGGGACTGGTGGAGTCCAGAGACTGACAACCATTTGGATCTCTAACCAACAAGAATGCCGGCTAAGGTTATTAATACAGTTCACCTCTTTATCTTTAATGCCCATTCTTCTAGTTTCCTTTCCACTGTTAGGACAAACACCAGGACCAAAAGCAACTGAGGGAAGGAGAGGGCTGATTGCAGCAGTGACTTAGTCCATCACTGAGGGAAGTCAGGACAGAAGATCAAGCTTCCATTACCATACAAGAACACCCTGGAGTAAAGGGGGTTCTTCAAGGCGGAGTGTTGTCACAGAAACTTGGATCCCAAATCAAATGTGGTGCCTCTGTAGACTCAAGAAGTACAGCATTCCCATGAGAATAAAAATCCCACCACTAAGAGTTTGAATTTATGTACATATTTATGGAGTGAGCTTTCATTGACAGAGCAGAATGATGCCATCTTTGCTACAGAAGAGGCCAAGCCTGGCGCCACAGAATGGCCCTCTCTGCTGGAACTCTGCCACAGGTGCAACGCCCACCCTGCTATTACCTCTTGGGAATTGCTAATTCCATGAACTGCTTTTTAAAGGGTGTTGTCTTTATTCATGTCCCCAGTTGAAAGCATCTCGAAAGACCGTTCCATGCTTTTAAGTTTGCTCAAGCTCAGTTTTGTGTTTCATACAGCTTTGGCCGTGGAATGTGTTTTTGGAAAGCACTGGGCATGGGCTTTGTTCTGCTAGAATCCCATTCCAACAGCACTGGAGGCCTCAGTGTGCCACTGTGAGGTGAGGGTGAGTGTGGTGACAGAGCAGGGCTTTGTGGGTCACATGTGGCATAAGCAGGTGAAGCCGCCAAGACAAGGAGCACTGATGATCCAGTGGTATGAGGAGTAAACGTCAGCTGTGGGGAGTGAAGCAGAGGGCAGTGAACTATTCTTTCCTTTTGGAACTGTTTCCGACCAGGTTTTATTTTCACTGGCTTTAAGTGGCTTAAAGTATCTTCTGTTTCTACACTAACAGACTTTTTCTTTATTAGAAGCCAGTTTTTGTCTTCCTTTTATAGAAAATGAGATATTGACATGTGGGATACTTAAACTCCTATACACACTCTTGCATCTCATACATCTACTCATAACAGGCTAAACACTGGGTCAAGTGGACTTCTGGGGAAAGCACACCGGTTCTTAGAAGTGGCCCTCCTGAGAAAGGCACAAGGGAGCAGACAGCGTGGAAACATGTCAGCCCCTGTCTCTTAGGATGTGTGTTGCTCTTTGGCTTGGCCCACTCTTCTAAGTAGTGTAAGCGCTTGACACACAAGCACGAGGACCTGAGTTCAAATCTCAAGAACCCCTACAAAGCCAGATACATGCTTCCAAAACCCCAGCTCTCCTGTGATGAGATGGGGGCAGAGACGGGAGAACCCCGAGAAGCTTGCAGGCCAGCTGTCCTGGCATATGCTACAGCGAACAAGAGATTCTGTCTTAACCAAGGTGGAAGGCAAGGTCTAACACTGAAGGCTGTCATCTGCACTCCACACACATGCTGAGGCACGTATGTACGTCCCCTCCCACATACCCGCATCACACACAGAGTGTGTTCCTGCTTCCTTGTTTGTTCACATTAAGCTGTTAGCTGCTTGAATCACTGTGTTCCATGTGAATTCTCTTTGGGAAAATATGAGTGTAGACTGCTGCTTGAGTTTTGTAAACTGGAGGGGGCTCTCCCTAACACCAGATCATGAGAAATGGGGCCTTAGACTATGGCAGAAAATATGTAAAGGGGTGATGAGCTCCAGAGACTTAGCTTTCCAAACGATGATGGTTCAGAAAGCAAGTAAACAAAAAAAGGGAGGGAGGAGATGCTTGGATGAAAGCCTTTTCTAACCAATAGGTACAACCAGTTATTCAGGAACACTCACTTTTCTTGCCCGTTGGCGCTAAGTTCTCTGAGAAGATGCTGTGTAACTCTTTTGTAGAACATGGTGTTTGGCCATTCTCTGTCCCCCCACCCCCACCCCCACCCCCAGCTCTCAAAACTGATTATACTCTGAACTATTTTTGACAGCATTCGCTATACAGCTTTTATAGGATATTTCACAAGTGATAGATAATTTGCAGCAGTCGGGGGAGACGGCTCAGTTGGTAAAGCATTTGCCATGTAAGGCTGAGGACCTGAGTTTGGGTCCCCAGCACCAAGCACCATGGCTGGGAAGGCATGGTGACTCACCTGTAATCCTACAACATAGAATGAACTCCCTAGAGCAAGATGACTTGGATTAACTGACTTGGATCGGTCAGCCTGGGTTCAGTGAGAGACCCTGCGTCAATGTCTAAGGTGGGGTACAATTGAGGCAGACACCTGACATCAACCCCTGGTCTTTTTGCCTGTGTGCCCACAAACACATGAGCATTCATAGACCACACACACACACACACACACACACACACACACACACACACACACACACACTTGCACATGCATGCAGGAAGATGATTTGCAGAGAATGTCTGTTGATGGTCACCACCCCACCCAAGAATTCCTTAGAATAGTGACTTTATATGAGCTTGTGATTTTCTGACTGATAATTTTCTAAAACATGCATATGTATTATATATAATATCTTTACATTGAATTTCACTCCTCACTGAAACTTCCATTAACCTCGAAAGGAACAATTGGAACTACAAGATAGTCTATTCTCTTTTGTCTTAAAAAATGCTTTTCAAACAGATCTGATCATTTATGTTACTGAAACTATTGAGTAGACGGAGAATTGAGGATCATTGATAAACTCAATTTACTCGTGGGGTCTTTCTTATTTTCCATATGCAATGTAAAGTTGCTAGTATTTTTCTTTCCTTTTTCTTTTTGGTAGCAGCAAAGGGAAGAGGAGACTGCAAGAGGAA